GAAGTTTACAGGGATCAGGAATTCATTTATGCCTGTGACATGAGTGAGGGGTGTAGCCATTTACCCAAAACACAGATGCAACAGAACTGAAAACAAGAGATCTAAGCTGTAACCACTGAAACCTAGTCATGTGCTTGTCCAGATGACAGGCGGGGGTAGAGTTGGGACTGGGGTGGGGAGGGAATATGGGAACACGGGTGGAGGAAAGCTGATGCAGAAATTGGTGTTCAATTATTGTACGCCTAAATACAACTACCAATAACTTTGAAAATACTGGCACTTTAATGAAAATTTAAAAAAAAAACAATACAATAAAATAAATTTCCATATTTCAGCACCCACTGAGATTAAGGACCCTCTAGTCCCAGCATTAGGCTCCGATATTTTTCCTGTGATGCTGAGACCATAGATGTGGTTGTGGGGATGGAGCCGTATCCCACCTTTCATGTCACATGCTTGGTCCACTGAGCACTCCAATGGCATAATAGTTAGTTTCAACAAGAGAATCTTACAGCACACTTGTATGCAATACCCCTGTTCCTAAAGAAATTGCTGTAATGCCACATTCTAAAACTGTGATTTGAGATCTGAAATCAAACAAAATGCACAATGAGAATTAGTCCAATGTTGAATGGAATGCAGTCGAATGACCAAGCAGGTGAAGGACATCTCCATACTTCTCACAGTCCAAGCAAGTCTACAGAAAGGGAAATTCTGCGGGAAGTATTGCTAGGAGGAGCTCGGAAATCCCCAAAAAAGCCTTTTGGGTTTTGTTTTTAATCAGACCCAGTGATGCTTGGGATACCATAGGGGATGCTGGACATCTAAGGTAGGTGGCATCTGTAAGGTGAGCACCCACCGAGATGCACTGCTGTTCTCGTCCTAATTAACTTCACTATGGGCTCACAGTCACAATTTAACATACACACAATAAAACAATTTTTGGTGCGTACAAGCGTACAGCAGGTAGGCATTTGCCTTCTTGAGGCTGACAGGGGTTGATCCTTGAATACTGTCAAAAGCAACTTACGAGAACCACCAGGAATAACTGCTGAGCATTCCCAGGCCCCAAAACAAAAGAAAACTAAATTCTTCCCATATTCAAAAAACCATGGCAATGACCCAAAGGCAAAGATATGCATGGTGTCAGATTGACTGAGTGGAGTCCAGAAAGTGCACTCGACCCTTTAGGTGTACAGCCAGGCTAGTTATACAGCCGGGGATACAAGGGCCTTGAAACACATGGACTACTCGACATACCTGACAGATAAGGAAGTATGACAACAAAGTCAAGAAAGCAAAGCACAGGATCTATCCGTAATGAACAGCTCCGGGGAGAAGACACCCCTACCCCATGCCACACCTCCACATAACATGGTCTAGCGATGAGAAGGGGATAATCAATGTCCAATGAGCAACTCAAAAATGTTGTGGACTGGAGGAGTCCTGGGTTGGCCACATGTAAGGAAAGCATCCTACTTGCCCTACTATTGCTCTGGCCATTTCTAAATAAATGGGAGAAAACGGGAAAAAATGGGAGAGCAATTACAAAGCTTTCAGGTTTAATTCTCTGTCATACAATGAAACACCCGTCCCTTCACCGTGCCCATTTCCTACCACTAAAACCCAAGTATACCGCCATTCCACAGCCTCCCACTAACTGTGGGGCAGATAATTTCCACATTCTTCTCTCTACTTTGATTACATTCAATATTTTGACATGAGACCACCATTATTATTTGGTATTTTACCCCAGCACTCAGATCTGGCAAAAATGCAACAATCGACAATTCTTTTTTGATTGCTGGTTGAAAATAACATATTATTTTGGAATTCTGAAATTTTAACAACTAAATCTGGAGGGATTTCTACCAAAACCTGCTGGGTTCTGAGATTTGTTCCAGAGTCTCTGGGATTATGGCCATTAAACAGCTTTACCATGAGCCAGAGAGACGATTCGTGGGAATGACATAGGCTCTTTTGGGGGAGGGGAGGGACTGGCCGGCTCCACCCCATCCTGAGAGGCCCCACGTTTCTTCCTGAGGGTCCAAACCTGACTTTCCAAAGGACTTTGGAGGATGGAAGCCACCAAGCCGCCAAGTGGAAGCAGTTGTGGGGAGAGCACCAATTTCCCCTGGGGTGGACCGGGGACAGTAACCTATTGCAGGGTCCAGATGCATTTCTGCTAAAAGGCGCTGGGTTTCGAGATTTGTCTCTGAATATCTGGGATCATGGCAATTATGCACCTTGATCACGAGCCACAGAGGTCAATCATAGGTGCCAAACAACTCGGGGTTTCGTTGGGGTGGGGAGAAAAGGGCCGGCTCCACCACCATCCAGTTAGGCCCTGCATGTCTCCTCACAGCAGTCCCAATCTGAACCGTCCAGATGCAATTAGAGATGGTGGCCACTGAGCCGCCAGGCGCGAAACCTATTGCCACCTGAAATACTCAGCTTTGGTAACCTACTGTGGGGACCAGACACATTTCTGCTGAAAGCCGCTGGGTTCTGAAGATTTGTTACTTAGACTCTGGGATCATGGCTGAGTGATCAAAAGCCAGAGATTCCGTACATGGGCAGCGACTCGGGGTCTCATTGAGGTGGGGAAGAAAGGGCAGAGTCCACCCCAATCCCATGAGGCCCCGCATGTCTTGTCACTGCAGGCCCAAACCTGTCCAATGGCCTCTGGAAGATGGTGGCCACCAAGCCACCAAGTGGGCTCAGACGGAGAGACACACCCTGTCCCCCTTGTGGTGGTCTGTCACTGGTAGCTCATTGCAGGAACCGGGCGCATCTCTGCAAAAAGCCGCTGAGTTCTGAGATTTGTCTCTGAGTCTCTGGGATCATAGCCTTTAAGCAGTTTGATCAGGAACCAGAGAGATCTTGCCTCCAATTATATAGCTGAGCCGGAAATGGTTTGTTGGTGTGTCTTGCACATACCTAACTTTTGGCCGTTTACTTTCTTGGAAGACTTTGCCCAAAGTTTTTGTTGTCTGGCCAAAGACACAGCATCTATTTCGGAGTATCTGGAAGTCTGATGGTGCCATCATTTTGCTGATGCACTCGCCTTACAGGCACAGATTGACCTGCTGGTGGTTCCATACACCCGGGAAGTAGAAATTCTATATATGGAAAAAAAAAACACCAATAGTGGGGTTGGACTCACTGTAAAGCGAGTAGGATGCTTACTGTGCTGATCCAGGTCAAACCTCCCCATCCCATAGGAACCCAGCAGCACTGAAGAATAATTCCTGAGCTGCCGAACCAGAAGTAAACCTTGAGCATCAAAGAATCCCTTTCAACTCCCCTGAATTAAAAAAAAGCTAGTAAAATTAATCCAAAGTGGGGCTGAAGTGATAGCAGAGCGGGTAGGATGTTTGACTTGCCCATGACCAACCCGGTTTCAAATCCCAGCAACAATATGGTCCCCTGAGCTTTATCAAGAGTAATTCCTGAGTGCATAAGCCAGGAGAAACCCATGTGAAACGCTGGGTGTGACCCAAAAAGAAAAAAAAATAATAATCCAAAGAGTAAATTTTCAGAGGCAAGTATCTCTCACTTGTACAAACACGACCCAAAGTCCCAAACCCAGCACGGAAGCCAATGAAAATGACCGATAGCAAGCGTCCCTTTCCTTTGGCGGCTGCCCATGAACACATCTGGAGGTTCCATAAGCGTTATGTCCAGTCCAAAGGCTCCAAGCAGGGTCCTACGCAGTCTCGAGTAGGGAGGAATGAGATGGCCAATACCCCGACTCTCTGCAGGCTCCTCACACTAAGGCCTGAAGTCCATGTGCCCACCCTCCAGTGCCATCTTGGACAAGGTTGCGATCATGGCTGCAGGGGGCCTCAGGATAACCCATGATACTTGAGCCACAGAACAGCCCCCAATGCACCCCTCAAAAGCTCCACATACCCTAAAGCCTGGATATCCCGAACAAGTAAAAAAAAGCATGAAAGTGCCCTACAAGCTGGTGTGACCTGCCGCTCAAGTTCCCAAACCGGGATTTTCAGGGTGCTCAAGCATTCCAAGTTCTAACACAGGAAAGACTGAAGAATGAAGGTTTACCTGTTTCCCCATTTTCAAAAAATTCAGTGCTGCATCTTGGTTGATTTCTGTCATAATTCCCACCAAAGAGCCCCTCTGGGCCAAGCCAGAAGCATAGCAAACAATAACAGAGTAGTGAGCTGTGTCACCTCTGAGCAGGGGGGTGTTTCTGTACCTGTTCATTCAGTCACCTTCCTCCTTACTTTCATCACCAGGGCCCATTATTTACAAGATAACACACAAGCAATTCTAAGCACTAGAATACTGGCATAGGTGTAGCCCGGGTGAAAATCAGCAGGTACCTTTCAATGACATGAGAAGCCTGTTTCGAGCAGGCAGGCTTACTTCCCTCTTAACTGCACTTTTTTAACACCCTTGACCATTGTGTCCAATGGAAACTTGCTTGACTGACTTGTCCTGTTCTGTCCTTAGAGACTGTTATTAAGGGATCAAATCATCCGGTATGAATTTATATATATTTATTATGATGTGAAGGGTACATGAAGCCCTTCCCACATTACTGACATATATGCAGTTTGTCTCCAGTATGAATTCTCACATAATGAGTAAGAGAATAGCACCAAATGAAGGTCTTCCCACAAGTCGGACACTGATAAGGTTTACCTCCACTGTGAATTTTCCCGTGCTTAACAAGGATTCTGAATGGCAGAAGGCCTTCCCACATTTCTCGCATATATAAGTTTTTTCTCTGGCGTGAATGCTACTTTGTAAACTAAATCTGAGGCTTCTCAAAAGGCCTTTCCACATTTCTTACATGTATATGGTTTCTCTCCTGTGCGTATTCTCCTATGTACATTAAGTATTGAGGACATACAGAGGCCTTTCCATATTCCTTACATATAAAGTTTCTCTCCAGTATGAATTTTCCTATGTACAGTAAGTTTTGAGGCTCTAACAAAGGCCTTTCCACATTCCTTACATATATGCGGTTTCTCTCCACTGTGAATTCTGCTATGTATTCTAAGTGTTGAGGATTCAGCAAAGGCCTTCCCACATTCCTTACATATATACGGTTTCTCTCCAGTGTGAATTTTCCTATGTTCACTAAGTCCTGAGGCTCTAGCAAATGCCTTTCCACATTCCTTACATATATATGGTTTCACTCCAGTGTGAATTTTCCTATGTACACTAAGTCCTGAGGCGCTAGCAAAGGCCTTTCCACATTCCTTACATATACACGGTTTCTCTCCACTGTGAATTCTGCTATGTATTCTAAGTGTTGAGGATTCAGCAAAGGCCTTCCCACATTCCTTACATATATGCGGTTTCTCTCCAGTGTGAATTTTCCTATGTACACTAAGTGCTGAGGCTCTAGCAAATGCCTTTCCACATTCCTTACATATATATGGTTTCACTCCAGTGTGAATTTTCCTATGTACACTAAGTCCTGAGGCACTAGCAAAGGCCTTTCCACATTCCTTACATATACACGGTTTCTCTCCTGTGTGAATTCTGCTATGTATACTAAGTGTTGAGGATTCAGCAAAGGCCTTTCCACATTCCTTACATATATGCGGTTTCTGTTTAGTGTGAATTCTCCTATGTACACTAAGACTTGAGGCTACAGCAAAGGTCTTCCCACATTCCTTACATATATACGGTTTCTCTCCAGTGTGACTTCTCCTATGTAAACTAAGTCTTGAGGCCCAAAAAAAGGCCATTCCACATTCTTTACATCTATAAGGTTTCTCTCCAGTGTGAATGATTGCATGTCTACTGAGGCTTGATGACTGAGTGAAGGCCTTGCCACACTCCTGACATATATAAGGCTTCTCTCCACTATGAGTTTTCATGTGTCTATTAAGATCTGAGGTCTGAATAAAGGCCTTCCCACAAGTCTGACATTTATATGGTTTCTCTCCTGTATGAATTCTCCTATGCAAAATAAGATGTGCTGGTCTTTTGAAGGTCTTTCCACATTCTTCACATGTATAAGGTTTCACTCTTGCATGTATATTCATATGGTCATGATGGGGTAACCCTTGACTCACACTTTGTTCTCGGGGCTGACTTCTCTGGGGATTCTGTCCACTGTGGTTTTCTAAGGGAACACCACAGTGCTGAGAAAATGGGGAGGCTCCGCCACATTCCTTACACGTAAATGGGTTCTGCTCACGGTGACTGTGGTTGAGGGTATGTTGCTGTGAGGGACTCACTATAAACAGTGCTCCTCTCCCTAGCAGGTGCCCCATTGGGGAATTTTTTGTCTGTGAACTGAGAATAACGCACTCCAAGGAACTTTTTCCAGGAGAGGGCTTCTTCAGAGTGAGGTAGCTCTCGCCATTCTGATCACCCTCAGAAGACATCCCGCCTGTCTCGGCGTCCTCATGGGGCTGAGGGTAGGATTTCTCACTAGAGATATTGTCACACAGTGTAGGATCAGAGACATTCCACTCGGGGTGGCACGTTTCCTGTAGAACAACAGAGGATTCTAATTATTGACTTATTCACTGAGTCTTCGTGACAAAAAACTGAGCCCTTCAGCTGTGGTTTTACACATATTCACCACACAAATGCAATTACCGACATATGAATTGTCATACGATAGAATAATTTCATGTTACTGTAAGTTGGACACACTAAATTGATGGATGCAGAGTCAATAAATTGTGTGCCTTTCTCCCCTTTAAATTAATGAAGAAATACAACTGGAAATAATTCCTCCTATAGAAAACGGAAGCATCTATTTCAAGAGAAAATGAAATAGATCCACATGTGGGTTTGGTTAAAGTTCCGTGTGGAACCTGTGATGCAGGGGTGAAGACAACGCTGCATCACCACGAAGCTGAGAAAGACCACGTGGCCATTGCAAAGCTCTCACCACAAGTGATGGCTTTCAGAATCAATGGAGTTTTTTGTTCTTTCTGTTTTGTAGTTTCTATTTATTGGGGGTTGGGTGGGTGGAGCGGCACACCATGCAGTGTCTAGGATCAGTTCTGTGGGTCTATGCTGTCTATAAGTTGTGCTGGGTAAGGACCATCCATCCATGTACAAAGAAAGTATATTCCTCACTGCACCCTCTCTAGGGCGCACCAGTTAGCTTTCAAAACGACTACCACTGTCAAGCAAATCAAAACTCACAGTATTTTTATACATGGTTTATTTCAGTATGTAGTGAAGCTAAGTGTCCTATACTCTAAGCATCAGACTTTGGAATTCCTCCCTGCCATTCCCAGCCTTCCACCTTAACATTCACATACTTGGTCCAATTCTTCTGGCATAATAATATTTATTCTGATTTAGAGAATCTTACCAACTCACTCGTACTTGCTGACCCCATGCCCAAATCAAAGTGCTGTAATGCCAAATCCTGAAGTTGCGGTTTCTGTTCTGAAACTGAAAAACATACAATTCAAGGACTTGTCAAAAAACGTAGCATAATGATGCCATGTAGTTAAGAGTACATCTCTGTGGTTCTCAAAGTCCAAAGAGTCCCAAACTAAAGAAAAGATTCGGGTAGTGGAAAACTGAGGATCTTGGCAATTCTACACTAGGTTTTGTTTTTGTTTTTTGAGTAGACCTGGTAATGTTCGGGGAACCAGGTTATTGAACAAATTATTGAACACGTCACCTTCAGGCACTGAAAGGCACTCACTGCAGTACTATCATTCAGATCCAAACTAGCTCTGTTATTGTCTTACTTATTCGAAAGCCATGGAAGCAAATTACAGGATCATTCAGTGACTGACAGTCCAGAGAAATGAAGAGCAGCATGAGTGCGGCACAGACCCAAGGATCCAGGAGACCAAGGCCCCGGTCTCAGCAGCGTGTTTCCTACATGCTCAGCGCACCCATTCACTGCACAGGGCCTGAGCCAGGAAGGGTCCTCAGACACTCACCTGCATACACGCCTCTCCTCCCCAACCTCAGGGCTCCTCCTTCCAGCCAGGAGATCACCGCAGGCTTCATCCCAGAGTGTCCTGCCCCAACAGACACAGAGGCATGGATAAGTCACAGGGAAAAGGTGACAGGAAAATTCCCATGTTTTCCTGATATAAGTGGGCATATATCTGAAAAGCATGAACAGAATGTCCATTTCCAAAATGCCACATATTTCTAGTTATTCGAGAGGTAAGACTCAAGAAAATACCACAAATACTCTAGACCTGACCTTGTGTATGGCCGACAGGGGGTTGATCAGCACAGTATATTGTTGGTTTTTGTCTTGCTTGGGGTCTCACCTGGCAATGCTCAGGGGTGACTCCTGACTCTGTATTCAGAAATAACTGCGGCTAGTGCTCGGGGATGACATGGGATGCTGGGGATTTAACCTACATCACTGCTTGCATGAAAATCACTTTCCTCCCTGTACTGTCTCTCTAGGCCCAGCAACACATGGAATTTCCTGAGCCCCTCATGACCTCATCACAGATTTCAGTAAAACTAAGTGCATAATATATCTGGATATGGCCAAGGGTGGCAAGAGACCCTTATTTTTTTAAGTTGAAAAATGTATCCAGAAAGACAGCAGAGCAGGAGTTTCTCACGGACAATCCAGTTTTGAAACCCGATATCACCTAGGGTCCCTCATGCCAGCCAGGAGTGATCCCTGAGTGCAGAGTCCAGGAGCAAATCCTAACTCCTGCTGAAGTCTCACAAGAACCATTAGAAGTAAATCCAAACACTGAAATATGGCAGTTTCTAATGAGTTGAGAGACGAGATATCAAATTCCCTGTGGTGGGAAAGAGATAGTACAGCACAAAGGACAGAAGCACTGGACACACATGTGGGTTTGAACCCAGGCAGCCCATATGGTTTTGGAGCAAGGCCTGGTGTGGATCCTGAATACACAGGCAGGAATAATCCCTAATCCCTAAGGAAAAAAGAAAATGCAAAAACCATCTGACTTGAGTGACTGGTGCAAATGTACTGGGGGTGAGGCACCAACATTTTAAGTTCCCAAGAGGTTTCAGCCCACGGTACCCCATGGCCCCTGAGCTCTCTTAGGAGTCATCCTTTAACACAGTGCCAGGAGAACTGTGGACTGTGCCCCCCCCCAAACAAAGGCAACAGCAAAACCAATTAAACACACAAAATTTCGTGTAGTACACAAAGTAAATTGATGCACCAATGGATAGAACTATTTAAAAGGAACTGAGCAATAACTGGGCAAATAGGGATCTTCCCATGGACACAGTCGAAAAGGGTTGATATAAATCACACCATAGGATCCGGCTACCCCACACGAGAAATTACTGAGGATAAAGCTGAGAGTAAGGCCTAAGTATCCACAGGTGAACCCTAAAAAAAAGAGGGAGGGAAGAGCTACTGCACGGCTGTCCAACATCCAAGCCCGTCACAGAGCTACTATTGGACACACAGCTGCCACCCAACCCCAGGGAGCCCACGCGGGTCTGTTCAGACAGGGTTGGCTGCACACTGCTCTCACCGACAGCCTGCAGATTCTGGTAGGTCTCCAGCATCACATCCCTGTACAGCTTCCGCTTAGAGGTCTCCAGGCATGACCATTCCTCTGGGGTGAAGTTCACAGCCACATCATGGAAGGTCACTGCGTCCTGAGTCAGCACACGGAGAGGGTGGGAGTCAGAGTCTATCTTAGCCTCATTCCCACTACTCTGAGGCCAGGTCCCAGGGTCCTATATTGTCGCTGGGCCTCTCCACTCCAAATGAACCAGCCTCCATGCACACGCATGACTGACGGGCCCCCAAAATCACATAAGGCAACTTGATCTGCTAAAGTGGGAGGAAGTTATACAGAAGTTTCTTGGATGTATCTGCCTTTCCTGGTAACCCCCCGGCCAATTCGAGCACCACTGTTCCAGTGAGCACTGTAGAGAGGATCACCTGAACAGAGACTTTTATGATCCAAAAGGCTATCCTGGCTGTAGCAAAAACCACTGCACGCTCACCGATATACCCCCACAGCACATGACCACTAGGATTGAGAACTCGACATATAGACAACTTCTCAGAGCAGTGCATGGCATGTGTGCCTGTAGGAACTCACTGCTCAGGACCGCCCAAATCCCGCTCGAAGAAGGTAGAAGTTTCTAGACCCCCAAATCTCTACTGGCCTCAGAGACCCTTGGCTCTTTCTCCTTGGGATCGGCGCATGCCCAGAAATCCACACACAAGATTATGTGAACGCAAGACTGTATGACCGAGCAGGTAGTCTCTCCAAAGTAGGAAGGACAAAACAGGAGAAAAGCAAGTCTGGGGGCCCAAGTCACTGTAGTTGCCAGGGCACAAACGGGGCCAGCACACCCCAGGGTGCTCTGAGGCCAGTCTGTTGTGAATCCAGAGCACAGAGTCAAGAGGACAGCTGATGACAAAAACAATGCAAAAGAAGCTGAAGCAGCAGGTTGGCGTAACAGGACAGCTGTTCCTGGGACAGCATGTAGGACTGGCGATCCCCAATATCCCAAATGGTCCCAAAAGTAATGCCAGGGGCAATGCCAGAGTGTAGCACAAGGAATGATTGTGAGAATCCTTGCTCTGCCACCCCTAATAAAACAGAAAACCCAAGATGAAACCTTTGGACCTCCAGCATCCCTTTGGTCATCTAGACCTGTCAGGAATGAGCATTGAGCACTGAGCTTTGGTAATACTCATGCACCACTGGGTCGGCTCCAAAGCCAAATAAAACAAAATGAACATACACAAAAAGCAGCTTCAAACAGCAGAATGGAACAGACCAATCGGAAGTCTCATCTTGGAATCTATCCAAAATAAACCCAAATAGATGACCCAGGAAGCCCGGGGACTCCTGGTTCTACCTCATGTCATTCTATC